TGCGTGATCTGGTTCAGTCAGGCGTTGTGTCTGTGCGCTCCTTACCGTCATCTGAGAATGTTGCTGACACACTGACTAAGGGCTTGGGCAGAGAGGCACACGAGTACCTGAGTCAGAAGATCACAGGCAGGCAGAACTTGTCATGATCTTGATTGTGTGGTTTTAGCCACTTGCTTGAGGTTGCACGGGAGCACTCCTTCGCTTGTCTATCTCTATCTTTGATGGTGATGTCCGCTATCTGGATCTGCGGCTTCACTATGCTCCTCTTGTCCTTGCGCCCCTCTGATGGCCTTGGACACGTCACTTTCTGGTCTTTCTTCTTGAGGAGGGCTGCTCCGTGTGCAGATCTCTTGCGTGGCGAAGACCTCACTCGCGCAGTGTTTTCTTTTACGAAGATTTATGCCCTATCTCTGTACCGACTTGAGAGGGGGTGTCAGAAGTGCAAGTCGGTCCACCGTAGATCGACGATCTACTGATCTGTGAGACAGGACGGCATTGGTGATTCTTTCGATGATGTCTGTACCCATGAGACAGGCCATGGCGGACAGGACGTCAGACAGGATGGACTGATCTATGCTACATGCCATGCATGGACTTTGCAGCAAATCCACAGACTTCAAGTTGCATTGACTTAATCCTTTATCCGGGACTGACCGCCCCGCTGATCCTCTCTTCACCATTCTCACCGACTCTCTCCCACCTATTCCGACAGCTTTTGGCATGTGTGCATTGCAGATGGACAGGCTGATGGACAGAAAGGCAGGCAGATGGATGAATGTGACGGATGGACAGAAAGTTTGCGATGACTTTGAGTTGGATGGACAGAATGATGGGGTAGATGGGCAGTAGGATATTTCATTCTTACTTGCACTCAGTGTCCGATTACGTGGACAAATACAGAGATAAACGTACAGACAAGGGCATGTAGTGCCGAGCGCGCCACACACATACGCGTACATACATAAAGAGCACGAATTCACACCCACCCACCCCCCCGTTCTGTCTTCTGAAAGCGGGTATTATCGCTTCTCTTACCTTCTCAACGGCACTGCTCCGCGCTCCCTCCATGCATACACACACACACATATATATATATATACACACGTCACACACATTGTTATGTATAGGTGTATGCATATATGTATGCATATGTATCTCGGCTGCTCTAGATTGCTCTTCCTCGAAGCCACATGCGGCTCGCAGGCCCTGCTCGTCAGGTGAGTAGACACTCAGAGGTTAGACGGAATCTCACTGTAGGCGGCGAGCGAAGCGAGCCGCTCTCAGTGACATTATGGGAGCCGGGAGCGGGGAACAGGCTGGCCAGAGGGGCAGTGCCAGAGGGATGCAGCAGGTGGGGGTGGAGCGTAGGGAGGGACTTCATCAGAAAGGCCGCAAGGCTGCGCTGAGGCCGCAGCGCCGCATTGACCGCCACCATCACCAACGTGCGCAGGCCGC